GGGGCAGTGAGGGGCAATCAGGCCGGGATCGGACCTAAACTGGCAGTCGGACATCCCACGAGGGGTCCCAGATTGGAGAGGGTGCAGGCTGGGCTGAGGGGTCCCTCCTTCCCCCCCCCTCCCCGTGCACAAATTTCGTGCACTGGGCCTCTAGTTGTACTTAATAAAAACCTAAAGATTTACAAACACCACATAAATAATTATCTCCATTTTGAGTATTCCGGAAACTCTATGAAAATGAAGATATAATCTTTTTTAACAGTTCACCCTAGTTCTAGTCATTTTCTTCTCTGCCTCATCTTATGTAATCACTTTGCCAACAAGACCAAGATTGCTTCTGTTTTATGCATTCCCACCTTCCTACATTTTTACAGCTGTCAACGAAATTATTTCCACTTCTAAAACTCCAGAATAGTTATGATTATTTAACTTAGCCCTCCCTCCACTCCCCCACCAAAATAAACAGAGAATATTTCTTTGCAACTTCTGAAGTTGCTCCCCATTTATAATTGAATTCAGAATAAATCTTGGCCAAAGCATACCAGAAAATTAGAGCAAAGTCATTTTCAAATGAAATTAATTTTAAATGACACTTTCAAGCATATTAAGGATTAAGTTCTTTCAAGTGAAATAACTCCAGGAGTGCGTGGATAAAGTTTAGCCAAACACTAGACTATGACTCAGGATAAAAAAATTAATTAGACATAGTCCCTAACTAAGAAACTTACAGACCAGGATATTACATAATATGTATAGAAACATAAGGGTATAATGTGTAAACACAATGTATAGATATCGAGCAAAATTATTTAAATTTACATATACACATTAGAGTTAGAAAGTATACATTTCAACACAAAATTGGTTCCAAGTTCAAAAACTGAAGTTGTTTTCCCATATTGTGTGATCAAATCACTGAGGCACACTTTGAACTTGGTACATTCCTTCTGATTCTGTACGCAAGTGATAGCCCATTTTGATTGTATACAGGCAATTTGGAGAAGAAAAATTCCTTATGACAACCATTTCTACTCCACCCAGATTTCCTTTTCTGTATATCAAATATTTAATGGGCACAATTATTCAATTATGTCTATACCAATGAATTTTCAATATGCATTAATCATTTAGAGGTTGAGTTGGTCAAAAAGGGGGGAAACCCTATATCTTTGAATGGAGAGAGTGAACTTTTCAACTGCAACACCCATTTCATGATCTATAAAAGGGTAGCCTTTGTGCCTGGCTGCCACTGCTTCCTCTCGGGTTCTGGCCACCTTCCCCAGGCTGTGGCTCTCTCCAGCACCATGTCACTCTTAGTGCAGTACTCTGAGCTGCGTAGGCAGCTGTCTTCCCAGAGTGGGACACTGGGCAGAGCCAGGGGCATGTCTGCCTCCAGTGTTGGAAGTGGCTATGGGGGAAGCGGCCTTGGCTTTGGAGGCGGCTATGGGGGAGGTTTTTCTGCTGCTTCCATGTTTGGTTCTAGTTCAGGCTTTGGTGGTGGCTCTGGAAGTTCCTGCGCAGGAGTGCTGGGCACTGCTTATGGAGGAGGCCTGGGGATTGGATTTGGAGGAAGCCCAGGAGGGGGCTCTCTATGTATTCTCTCTGGCAATGATGGAGGCCTTCTTTCTGGATCAGAAAAGGAAACCATGCAAAATCTTAATGACAGATTGGCTTCCTACCTACATAAGGTTCGAGCTCTAGAAGAGGCTAATACTGAGCTAGAAAACAAAATTCATGTGTGGTATGAAACACGAGGATCTGGGACTGAAGATCCTGGGTCACAGAATGATTACAGTAAATATTATCCACTGATTGAAGACCTCAGGAATAAGGTAACAATATGGTTTTTGGAGGGGCTTTGGGAATTATGTTGGTTTGTTGTTGTTGTTGTTTGTGTTTTATTTTTTTCTGGGTTTGTTTGTTTTTTGTTTTTGTGGGTTTTTTTTGCTATTACAGTGTTTTAACAGTGATAATTTTTTCAATTCCACTATACTTGAAGAAATTTCTCATGCTGAAATATTTAGTTTCATTTTACCATTTACCATAAAGGGACTCTATTTCCACTTTCTGTAGGAAATGTATGTTCCTTAACTTTTAAAATATTCCATCAATATATATTCTTTTAAAAATTTAATTGCCACACGGCTGACGTGGCTCAGTGGTTGAGCATCGGCCTATGAACCAGGTGGTCACGGTTTGATTCCCGGTCAGGGCACATGTCTGGGTTGTGGGCTCAGTCCTCAGTGTGGGGCACGCAGGAGGCCGCTGATCAATGATTCTCTCTCATCATTGATGTTTCTATCTCTCTGTTCCTCTTCCTCTCTGAAATCAATACACACACACACACACACACACAGAGTATATATATAATTTAATTGCCTTAAACTCTTAATAAAATAGCATTTTAACATCACCTAAAAATTATCTGTCGAAAACATATTTGTATAATACTGGTACTTTAGGGTTTTATTCAGTGTGTCCTCCCCGGTTTTGCCAGATCATCTCTGCCAGCACTGGAAATGCCCAGCTCATCTTACAGACCGACAATGCAAGACTGGCTGCCGACGACTTTAGAATGAAGTGAGTTGAATAAAAGATAGATTAATGGAAACTGACATGTCCCACCATTTCTTCCTATCCCCTATTTTCCTGCCTTCACTGGTGGCAAATATTTCAAACTTTCTGCAGTTCACCTGCCCCATACAGTCAGTGTTCTGGTAAATTTACACTGGGCATTCTAGAAAGTAACTAGATTCCAATACAACTCGCACATTACATGTCCTGAAGTATAAGTTGCTTAAACGTAGGGCTATGGATTAATTTCATGTCCCTACACGAGTAATGTGCTATTGACTCATGATGTGACACAATAATTCCACCGATGTCCTAAAGCTCCACCTTCCATGTATCAAAATGAATTAATAATGTTTTTGCCCGGGAGTTAAATGAAATGATCTTTTTCCTGATGACACATACACCTAAAATATTAACCATGCCCTCATTTTTATATTCTCTCTTTCCCCCTACTCCACCCTCTGGACATAAAGAAGAAATACTAATGTCCATTTTGCTCCACAAAATTTTCACACAGAATGTTGTGGTGGTGATGATCCTGAACATGTAAAATCCTGGTAAAAGCTACTAAAGAAGTATCAATGTTTTAAATTAAAACATGAGTAAAAGTTAAGCAAAAAAAAAAAGACTAGTTATTATTTTATTTTCAACTGCTTTTAGGATTCTGTCTGAAACTCCTAGAGAGGTACTGCTACTGTTCATAGCCAGGGCAGCCGGCCAAGGGGGAAATTGTTCCCTGGGATGCAGTGCTATTGGGGTTCATTGCTGAGAGAAAAGCATCACCTCATAATTTTTTCAATTCTCTCCAACTGATCATTAAACTATCATAAAAAGGGGACAGAACAGTTATTAAAGCAAAAACAGCATCATACATTGCAATGCTGCCATTTTAATATAGTCGCACAGATTTATGCACAAAATAGCTCTGAAGAATGCAGGCACCTTATTCACAGGGGTGTGTTGATTCCTTAAACTGTTTTGCACTTGGTTTTCAGGTATGAGAATGAGCGTGCCCTGCGCCAGAGCGTGGAGGCCGACACCAACGGCCTGCGCCAGGTGCTGGACAAGCTGACCCTGGCCAGGGCCGACCTGGAGATGCAGATCGAGAGCCTAGTGGAAGAGCTGGCCTACCTGAGGAAGAACCACGAGGAGGTCAGCCACAGAGGGCTGCTTTAGTTTCAAATTTACAAATCTGGAATTAGATCAGATATGGAGAATACATATTTCCCTGTTAAAATGGCCATTTTAATTTCTTGTGTGTGTGCGTGTGTGTGTGTGTGTGTATGTGTGTGCGTGCGTGTGTGTGTGTTATGTGCCAGCTGCTGGTGGTGGTATTGACAGTAGTTTCCTGTTAAAATGGCCATTTTAATTTCTTGTGTGTGTGTGTATGTGTGTGCGTGCGTGTGTGCGTGCGTGTGCGTGCGTGTGCGTGCGTGTGCGTGCGTGTATGTGTGTGTGTGTGTGTGTGTGTGTGTGTGTGTGTGTGTTATGTGCCAGCTGCTGGTGGTGGTATTGACAGTAGTTCCTGTTAAAGTTTATCCGATAAAAGGCACTTTCTGATTTGGTCATTTTCATCATTAGGTAAGGACAGTAAGAATTTTAATTATCCTGATCTAGTGATTTTTTTTACAGTTAAAAAACAAATTCTATCAATAATACATAACGTTATATATGTCGAGAAAGCGGCATTACCCTGTGTGATACACACAGAGAACTCTGATATGCCACAATGCCTATCAGCACCTGGTAGGTAGCATGGGCATTAGTCATGACTCTAGCAATAGGCTTCTAAGGAGGTTTCTACTGGAAATCAATGACTGTGATAGAAACGGTGTGGAAGCCGAGGTACCATCTGCTGCCCTCAGTTTGGCAGCTGTAGCTGAAACCCCAAATGTACTGTTTTCAGCAGGCCTTCCCTTCTTAGTAAGGCCCTGGTCCCCAAGAAGCAGGGCCAACTCATTCATTAGGGATGGCAGGCACAGCACCTGGAGCCCATGGTAATTTTAGGGGCCCAGGAAAATGTCTTCAGTTCTTTTAAAATCAAAAGAGAAATATTAGTTTTGGGGTTAAAAATGTTCTAATATATTGTATTAATATGTGTGACTTATACTAACTCAGTCATAAAATATAATGTGTAATATTTGTTATAGAAGAAGAGGCCCACAAAATCATAACAGCCCCCTGCACTCCTCTCTCACTTGCTGCCCCCAGGAGCTCCAAAGCTTCCAGTCTGACGGCCCCGCCCAGGTCAGTGTAGAAATGAATGCTGCCCCAGGAGTGGACCTCACCAGGCTCCTCAACAACATGAGGGCACAGTATGAAGCGATCGCTGAGCAGCACCGTAAGGACGCGGAAGCCTGGTTCATTGAAAAGGTAGCACTAACGAACACAAAAGGCCTTGTTTGAGACATTAGCAGAAAAGCACTCACTCATGTCCTCTGGCTCCTCTTTTCTGTGGCAGAGCAGGGAGCTCGAGAAGGAGATCAGCACCAACACTGAGCAGCTTCAGTCCAGCAAGAGCGAGATCACCGACTTGAGACGCGCCTTTCAAAACCTGGAGATGGAGCTCCAGTCCCACCTCGCCATGGTAGGGCCCGCGCAGAGACGCAGCAACGTTTCAACTTCCAAAGAAAATGTTGCATCCAACCTACGTTAGGCCATTGGCTTGCCTGGTTCATTCAGCCCCCTCCATTGTTATGTCTGTGCCATTTCTCTCCCGCATGCAGAAGACATCTCTGGAGGACTCCTTGGCCCGAACCGAGGGGGACTACTGCGGCCAGCTGTCCCAGGTGCAACAGCTCATCCGCAGCCTGGAGGAGCAACTGCTCCAGGTGCGCAGGGACACAGAGTGCCAGAACGCCAACCACCAGCGACTGCTGAACGTCAAGGCCAGCCTGGAGCTGGAGATCGAGACCTACCGTGACCTGCTGGATGGCGAAGCCCAAGGGTGAATAGATAACTGAGGTTGAAATAACCTCAGTGGCTGACCAACCCCCGAGTGGAGTTTGGAGGGGGGGGGCAGTGGAAGAAAGGGTTTTTTAGTTGACAAAAAATAACAAATCTAGTAAAAACAAGTCTTGGGTTTATTAAGCACTCTACACTTTGCAAAGTGTTGTCACCCATTGTCTTACTTGATAATAATTCATAAAATGCTGGGATGAACAACGGCACCAGAGACAGAGGCATTCTGCAAAGGAGCACTAGAAAATCACCCACTTTGAGTTCTAATACCAGTCTCCAGGTACTAAGAATGATACTTCAAATAGCCATCTGGAACCACCTCAGACCTACTGTAGCAAACTTTCTAAAAGTAATAGGAGCATGACCCACTGGGAAGAACTCAGGGCTATAAGTCAGAAAATGCAACTCTGAGACCAGATCCTCCATTAATGGCCACTTTGCTTCACCTTGAGATCCAGATGTTGGCAGGGTTTGAAAGGTGCACTGTACAGACTGATTACTCTCAGGGTGAGTCATTCAATCACTCTTTTATTTTTTTCAGTTATAATACTAGGACATTGCTTTTTTTTGCCAATTGAGGTCTTTAATTTAAATTTTATTTTTCAGCTATTGGTTACATTCAATATTATTTTGTATTGGTTTCAGGTGTGCAGCATAGTAGTTAGACAATCATACTTTACAAAGCATTTCCCCTAATATTTCCAGTACCCACCTGGCACCATACATGGTTATTATAATATTATCATTCAATTATTCTTGATCAAGAAATTTGGAACCCCTTCCTTATTTGTCTATAGTTTTAGGCACATTTCCAATTTTTAGTCCAAATAGCAAACTCCTTATTTCTCCTCATTCCAGAAAGCATGATGTGATATCATTTCCCTCGTTTTCTCTACAGTGATGGTGTGGATGAAACTTCACCTGTGACTGACTCCAAATCTCAAGCACAGTCCACTGATTCTGCTAAAGGTATGCAGATTCCCTAAGAATCACTTAGAATAAGTCACAGTCATATTTATTAATGACTAAAACTATAAGATATCATTGAATACTGCAGCATTATTAATTTAAAGTATATTTATATACTGAGCCAAGGAAAAACCATTTATGCATCCCTGCAGAAAAATGAGTAGTCTGTAATGTATTAAAATGTCTTGTAAGCCCAGGAAGAAAAAATTCTACTCTGCAAAGAAGTATTATGAGCACCATAACCATACTTAAATGCTTAAACATATTTTCATTTGTGCATAGGACAACACTAAACGTATTTCCTTTTCGTTGAATAAAATACATTTTTTAGAATGTGAAAATCACTTTTGAAAGTTTAAATTTGAAGGGTTTTATCGGTCAATACCTAATATAGAAGGTTAAGTTAAATAACAACCAATTTTAGGTGAATATTTGAAACACTAACTTTTGCCCCCTTTGTTCCCTCTTTATCTTTAGACCCTCCCAAACCCCGAAAAATCAAAACAGTTATCCAGACCGTGGTGAACGAGGAGATGGTCTCATCTCAGGTTCAGGAATTTGAAGCACTAATATAAAATTTCACAAGCTCTGCCCCATGATTGCTTCCTTAGGCACAAGAAATTTACAAGAAGAAATTATTCCTTTCAGAGTAAGATGCTATATTAGGTCAAGCTCTATTTTTGTTTCATTTTCTTTAGATTCCTATTCACGTTGAGTCCTTTCTGCCATGCCGAAACAATACTCAACTATGAGTCATTGTGGCCATGTTGGTGTTTATAACAAACCAAAATTGCCTTATAAATTTCTGGACCTGGAGTAGTCTTTTAATAAACTTTCTTCTAGTGATCTGGAACATGTTCTTAATCATAGGGCTTTGATCAAGTAGTACTGTCTTAATAAAATTAATTTTAAAAGATTAATGGTAATAGTGTGAAATCTGTATCTTCTTGATTCCAGCAATAATGTCAAGGGCATAGAGGTTTGTGAAATATTAATAAGAAAAGTAGATAAACAGTGGGATAAACATATCAAGGTTTGAGATTAAGTTAAGAGGTTCCTTTTTGAAGTCCTTTCCTTTGTACATTATTCCATCAAGTTCACAGCAAAATTCTATTGTCCACTCTCGGGCATTAACAGTTGTCCTGTTAATTTTCTAGAACCTTCTTTCATTCAAATAAGAAACACTTACTGAGCCCTTACAGTGTGCCAGACTAGAGACTCTTCTAGGAGTGGCGATACAATGAGATAGGGCAAATAGAAGTTCAAAGGACACATGGAGGAGAAAGTGAACAATATGTCAGGGGACAACTAAATGTTTCATAAAGAACTCAACCAGGCAGAGGAAGGAGAATGGGAACAGAGGAAACACATTGTCCACAAAGGTGTGAACAAACATTGCTGCCATGTCCTTCCTCCTATCTGATACCAGTGACACCAAGGCTGGGGCTTCTATTGGGCTGAATCAGACACATTAGTCAATAGCAGATGTCATGTGCTGGGTTGGAGCAGAGGGCAGCCAAAGTCTAAGCCTGAGTAGATGGTGGTTCAATCTGGGTGGACAGATTCAAAACCAGAAAAAACAAGAGCAGGATTTAATGATTCAGAACCCGGGCTCTGAAGCCAGACTGGGTTCAAATTCTGGCTCTTGCTACATAGCAGCTAGTTAACAATCCCTGTGTGCCTCGCGCTCCTGATCTTTAAAGTGGGGTGGGAAAGATTAAATAAGAAAACATACATAAAACCCTAGGAACAGATCCTGGTGCCTAGCAAGTACTCAATATTTGCGTCCTGTTATTATTTGCTGTACAGAACCAAAATGGGATGGAGAACGCAGGGGAACTGATGAGCGAGGAGTGTGAAAGGGAGCAGAAGGGAGAGGGTGGATCATGCAAGCCTGGACGAATTCCAGTGCTGAGTGCAAAAGCCCATGGAAGGTTATCAATGCCATTTTAAGATGACCTGCTTCAGCATGCAGCTTTCTGAAGTCACACTTGCTTTTAATATTTGCTAGTGTTTTGGGTACTCCATTCATCTCGCTTGGTTACACATAGCAATTCAACTCTCTGTCTTGCCCTCGCCTTCCAGAATGTGTCCTAGGACAACCATACTTTTCAGACCCAAAGAGATTATTGAGGTCTTTTCCTGAACAAGGTCCATAGCCCACAAATAACAAATAATGTCATTTTTCTAGTACTCGGAGTGGCTGCAAATAGTTTTACATAACATCTGTTTTCCTTACAACTACATCTGAATTCTGTGAGATTCAAAGGAAAAAGGGATTTTGCACAAGTATTAATCTGGTGGTTATTTCTTAGCTATTAACTTAGCTTCTCAACATTCCCTTCCATTGGAAGTATTTTCTTCACTGGGCTCCCAGAGACATCATCTCACTGGAAGCTTTTTCTCAGACTCTTCTTTGTGACCTCTGAATGTTGGCCCAATCCTCTTGTCTCCTCTCTCGACACTCTCTCCCTCGGTAACCTCATCTACTGTCATGGCTTTAAAGTAATGCTCAATGGATGAATGTTAGCTGGACATATTGTGATCATTTCGTATTATGTAAAAATATAGAATCATTATGTTGTAATTAATATAATGTTGTATATCAATTATACCTCAATTAAAAATAAAAAAAGAAAGTGGCCCTAACCGGTTTGGCTCAGTGAATAGAACGTCGGCCTGTGGACTGAAGGGTCCCAGGTTCGATTCCGGTCAAGGGCATGTACGTTGGTTGCGGGCACATCCCCAGTAGGAGGTGTACAGGAGGCAGCTGATCGATGTTTCTCTCTCACCGATGTTTCTAACTCTCTATCCCTCTCCCTTCCTCTCTGTAAAAAATCAATAAAATATTTTTTTTAAAAAAAGAAAGTGACCATCTGTGCATTGATTAGTTCTTGTGGTAGCTTCCAAGATGGTTCCAATGATCCTCACCTCTTGGTGCTCATGCCCCTGTGTATAGTCCCCTCCCACAATGAACAGAGTAGACTTATTGAACAAGTGACAATGTGTGACCTTCAACATTAGGTCACAAAAGCATTTCAGTTCTGGCTTGGTCATTAGATTGGTCACTCTGCGAGCAATCAGTTGCCCTTACGTTTATTCTACGGAGGAGGAGGACTATCCCAAAAAAAAGTCAGGGATTTCACAAAGTTCCCCATCCAAAATCACTGTCTTATTCTGATAATATCTCGGTGAAAATATTCTACAGTCTTCGGTTGGCAAAGGAGGCATCATATTTCTTATTACAGGTACTTTGCCCTGCTCTCACTGCCAAGAAATATAATTAGCACAGCATCCTTTTCATGAGATTCCAGCCCTCATTCACAAGACCACAAGCCCTATTTCAATACAGACATGAAATATCCTTTTGGACTTAGTCATTAATGCACTGCATAAGTGAGAGGTCTGTCTTTAAAGAAAGAAATTCATAAAGAGAGAAAAAAGCTACAGGATCAGACAACAAAAGACAAACATTACTTATGATTATTTTAAGATCTGAAACTTTACTAATATAAATTTTATGCATGTTTTGTGTACAGGGTAGGAAAAAAAGTCTGGAAAATACTGTTTATACTAACCTATCATAGTGGTTATCCTTTGGGGATTAGCAGTTTGAAGAATACAGGGTGTGTGACCAAAAAAAATGTATACACACTTTAACAGCTGACAGCTCAATTTTGGAAATGAAATGTATTTTAATAAACACTGCATTTATAATTATTCAAAGTGTGTATACATTTGGGGGGAACACCCTGTATTTTGTATTTTCTATTGAACATTTTGTAAATGGTTAACAAACCACATGTATAACTTTGATAATTGGGGAGGGGATGAATTTTAGCTATCCAGAACAAATGAGTTTGCAAGTAGGTCACAATCTACAAATCAACCATCCATCGCCAAAGCAATCACTTTTTTGGGTTTTGCAAGAGTGCCACCTACTGGAACTTTAGGAAATAAACTTTTTAAAAACTGCCTCATTCACTGCTGGTGGGAGTAAACTAGTACAGTCACTATGGAAAAAAGTATGGAGGTTCCTCAAAAAATTAAGAATAGAGTTATCATATGACCCAGCAACCCCTCTTCCGGATATCTACCTGAAAATTTTGAAAATATTTATTTGCAGGGATATATGCACCCCTATGTTCACTGCAGCATTTTTCACCATGACCAAGATGTGCCTGGTGTTGCAGGCTAAATCCCCAGTAGGGGGCATGCAGGAGGCAGCTGATCAATGATTCTCTCTCATCATGTTTCTCTCTCTTTCTCTTTCTCTCTGAAATCAATAAAAAATTTTAAAAATTTTTTTAAAAGCTATGGCTGCAAGCCTGGCTGCTGTGGCTCAGTGGTTGAGTGTTGACCTATGAACCAGGAGGTCATAGTTCGATTCCCAATCCAGGCACATGCCAGGGTTGCAGGCTCGATCCTCAGTGTGGGGCGTGCTGGAGGCGGCCAATCAATGATTCTCTCTCATCTAAATCTCTCTCTGTCTCCCTTCCTCTCTGAAATCAATAAAAATATTTTTTTAAAAGCTAAGGCTGCAACATTTTTATAAAAGGATTTATGATGACCAGAATTCACAGTTGAAAAATAATCATCAAGAGAATAGATAAATTATGGTATATCCACACAACAGAATAATACAACATACCGATAAAAAAGGATGGAACTACTAACGCAAAAACACATGGATTAATTTCAAGACCATTATGCTGAACAATGGAAGTCAGACTCACAATAATATATACTGTATGATTCAATTTATATGAAATGCTGGGGGGGGATCTAATCTGTAGTGACAGAAAGCAGACTGGTGGAGAAGTAGGGATTAACTGGTTAACTGGGAAGAGTCACAGGAGAAACTTTAGAACTGATGAAAATGTTCTGTATCTTGATTATGGTAATGGTTACATGGGTATATCCATTTGTCAAAATTCTTCAAACTGTACACTTAAGACAGGTACATTTATTATATGTAAACCATACATCATAAAAGTTAAATTTAAAAGGATAATAATAATAACTCAATAGTCTTTCTTCAAGGTGGTGCTGCGTTGAAAGCACAAAAAGGCCAAGTAGGATAAATCAACCGTGTGCTAGGATGGGCTTCCACCTGCTCGTCAGTGATAACTGATATTCAGGAATTTTTTCAATCTGGCTATCAAGCCATTGGTAGCTTGGCATTGGCTGTGATGGGAATATTTCCACTATGGAACTTGGGCTCTACATACATATTTCCCCGGAGAACGGGTTCACACCAGCACACCACTGAGCACAGCAGTTAACACAGATACAAAGGCTGATTGCCTTGGTTTGGGATCAAGCTCTTCTGCTTTCTAGTGGTTTTATTTACCTCTCTGTTCTTCAGTTCAAATTAAATGGACTGTGAATCTTAGCTGCTGAGAAAAATCGTGGAAACAGCCCTTAGAAGCAGACCTTTGCATTAATCATACTAATAGAACAGTCCAGAGAGTTAGTAAGATCTAATAGATAGAAACTAGATGGTATTTCAGGCTTTGCTCAGTGAGTCATCATGTTACTCATAACAAGTTACTCAACTTGAAATGATTCATCT